AGGCTGGGGCAGGAGGGGGTGGTTCAAGGCCAGCCTGGGCCTCTGAGTGAGACCCTGTCTCCAATTAAAACTTTAAAAAGACTGCTCTGAAGTCCCAACAGATTAAGAAGTCTGCATGGGAGTCCATACACTCCCACCAGGCCTGGAGTCCATACACTCCCACCATGGGAGTCCATACACTCCCACCATACACTCCCCTTAGGACTTAACATGGGAATTTCAAGCTGGACTAGATGAAGCACTGCTCATATTTCTGGCTATTTTCCATGAAATGGGCTGCCAGAGGCTTTGAGGGTTGAACATTTATGAAAATCAGCAATATCATCTTTGATAAAAGGACGGTTTCTCAGCCAGAATGGCGCAGCTTGTCCTTGCCCCAGCTGTTCACGATTCCATAAATAATTAATTTTATCTCATCACCTATTGAGGTTTTTGTCTTTTGCATGAGCTAAATGGTCCTCTGGGTGCCTCCTGACTCAGGGCCCAGTATCCAGTCATAAGATGCCTTCTAAGGAAGCACTGCTGAGCTCTGTCCTAGAGAGCTGGGTGCCTTCGTGTCCCATGCCAAGGCTTGTCCCCATCCCCTCAGCCTCTGTGGGCCTGGCCTCCTGAGGTCGCCTCACCTCCAGCAGCCCCAGGGCTGGGCGCTGGCACCTCTCCTCCAGCTCCTCTGCCAGCTCCTTGAGGGCCTTGCTGTGCTGGGCCAGCTGGTCCTTACTGTCCCGAAGTCTCTGCAGGGTGGCTCTCTCCTCCTCCTCCAGCCTCCGCAGCTGCAGCTGCTCTTCAAGGGCCAGAAAGCCGCGGTGCTTCTCAAACTCCAACCTGAAGCGCTGCCGCTGCATCTCCACCTTCTCCTGGAGCAACAGGAGACCCCATCAGGGCTGGGGCAAGGTGTGCGGGACCTGCCTCAAGTGTGGGACGGGCAGCCAGAGAAGGGACGTCCCGCATCACCCCCCACCCCTGAACCCACCCCCCTCGCTCTGCACCTCTGGGGAGGACCTCAGAAACCAGAGGCCGGGAACAGGAGAGGTGGCCGGTGGGGTTTTCAAGCTCAGAGTCTGGGAAGACTGTGGCTGTGGGCCCCCTTGTGCTGCAGGGCCAGAGGCAAGGCCTTCGACATGGGTTTCAATATCACGAGTCAAATGCAGCAGAAAGAGAAGCGTGGGGATCATCTGGGCACCTCCAAGAGCCCGTGTGGCCTCACAGCAGAGGGCTGGCTCTGCTGCTGGGTGGGTGGCCAGGAAGAGCAGAAGGCCTGGGCTGTGAGGGACAACGTGACAGGAGAACATACAGATGTTCTCTTGTCCCAGGAGAAGCAAGAAACCAGCACAAGGCCGTGTCCTCTGCAGAGACCAGAAGAACTAACTGCCACGCAGTCCACTCATTCCTGGCTAATACACCAGCCCCTACCCAAATCTCCCATCACGGCTCTTGTTGTTGCTCCTGGTGCTGAGGACAGAGCCCCTGGCTTCACTCAGGCTGGGCAAGCTCTGCCCCTGAGGCACACCTGGCCCTCACACGCAGGGGATCGCATCTAAATGTTATTCTCTTGAAATTAGTAGCTAGAAACCCAGCTTTAAACTGAGCATGAGCGGC